GCTCCAGTACTTTTGGTAGAAGAAAGGGTAGAGGGCATCAGGACTAGGATCCTTGAAAGGTTTGAGGGAGAAGATAGCCATTTTGATTTCCCCCATCTCAAGGGGCCTGTCCAGTCTGTCACTTTGGGAGTCAGAAAGGGTATGAGACATTGTTAGGTGGCTGGTGGTGGAGATGAAGGCTTGAGAGTGGGAGGAGGTATAGAGGTTGGTGAAGAAGCTCATTATGGATGTTTGGATGTCTTTTTGGTCATAGAGCCAGTTCCCACTCTCATCTTTGAGAGAGAGGATTTTGTTTCTTCCTCTTCTATTGAGAGTGGATGTGTGGAAGAATCTGGTGTTGGAATCCCCCTCATGACGCCAGTTAATCCTAGATTTCCATAAGTCCTCTTCATTTTTAAGGGTTAAGTCTAACTCACTAATAAGGTTGTTTTCTTGTTTTAACAAGTAGCTGTTGAATTGATAGTTGGGGGATCTTTGGATTCTAATTCTTGCTAAGATTCTTCTTTTCTTATGGAAAATATTGCCAAAGGTATCTCTATTCCACAGAGTCAAAATTCTCTTGAAGGACTCAGTGGATTGGAGAAGGGTGGAATTTGCGTTGAAGGCCTCATTGATGATGCTGGGAAAAGTTGGGTGGCTATCCCACATAGTTTCAAACCTAAAAGGTCTAGTCAAGTTATTGGCGAATTTCCCTTTCAGGATAACTTGGATGGGGCAGTGGTCAGAGTGAGTCCTAGGTAGGTGCAACACAGTAGTCTCAGGATACTGTGAGATCCAACTCTCATTGGCAAAATACCTATCTATTCTTTCAAGGATCAGAGAGGCCTATTTCTATATCTCTTATTAGACCAAGTGAATTTACTACCTTTGTAGTCTAGGTCTAAAATTTTGCATTCATTAATGCAATTCCAGAACTGGTTGTTGCGATTAAGGTTTATCGGGTTTCCTCCAAATTTGTCCCTAGCTTTCAAGACTTCATTGAAGTCTCCTCCCACAAACCAGTTGTTTGTGAGAGTTTTGGAGATAGTAATTAAGTTCTCCTAGAGGAGTTTCCTATCTGCTAAATTATTACTAGCATAAATAGCAGAGAATAACCAAGGAGTATGGTTAGGGAGTACCTTCACCATGGCATGGATACCTTGAGGGGTGTTGGCCACCTCATCTATACTAACACTGTCCTCCTTCCACATAATCACAATTCCCCCAGATAGACCAATGGCCGGCGATTGGACTATCAGATCAAATTGAAGATCCTCGGCCAGTTTCTTATTGTCGGCCATTTTAGTCTCCAGCAGAACGAGCATGGCTGGCTTGTGCAACTTGACCATCTCCATACAGTGCCTTTTGAACTCATCGTTGTTCCCCCCTCTAACATTCCATATAATGTAATTCATTAGGGGTGGTTGATTGTTTGGGTGGTGACCTTACTGAGTATTATGTCCTAAAACTGATAGTATTACAAATGTCTAGAATTTTGGCTATGTCCTTTTATTGTTAGTTATTATGTTTAATATTATAAGGTTATTTTTGTAAACCAACTTTTTATGCATGCTTTTGTAATAATATAGACATAGATATAGATATTGATATTGATATACATATAGATATATATAGACATAGATAGATAGATACAGATATAGATTATTATTTAATTATTTTCTTATTATTTAAATTAACTTAATATGTGATATTAAATTTTTCCTTGTTGATTACGTAGTTCCTCGTAATATTTAGGAACATAAGTTATATCAGAAAAGATATCTAACTTAACTTAGTTTTTACATTATACGAACTAATATCAAGACTTTAAAGGAAAATTAAGAATTTTCCACTTCGTTTAAAATATTATAAGTGTTTAAAGAGCTTAGTACTAAAGTTTCTTTTATATTAGTTGTGTGAATATTTAAGATTTGTAAATCAATTAAAAATTTTAATCCCTTTTCCATATATAACTCAACATCATCTCCACGTTTCAGAATTGTTCCATTGAAGGGAAAGTAAAGTAAATAGACTCCTACTGTTATTTGACTTTTAAGAGAAATCTATTAATTTTACGTTTTTGTACATTGTATTAAAGAGATAATTTAATTTTCAAAGGATACTTTTGTAATCCGACACCGTATTCGTGCTTTTATAATACTAGTACTAGTACTAGTACTAGTACTAGTATCTATGAACGTGCGTTGCATGTTAATAATGGTACGTGATGATTTAAATATTTATTTATATGAAGGAACAATAAATTTAATTAATGAGCGAAATTTTATGTATAATAATATAAATATCATCTAAACGACGAACGATATTGTTACATTAGCATAATACATGAATTTATAATAAAAGGACATCATTAAAACTTATACAACTGATCAATTTTGTCATGTTAGTTAGATAATTACGTATTATAGTTTAAAAGTATTAATGTGATGGTATCTTAACGAAGACTTCTTTGTGGATAATATTTTTTGTGTATGTTTCCTCCTAATGCTTTGGTTGCTCTGCCTTAACCAATACTCTTGTTGCCGTTCTTGATATCCATGTTGAGAGTACAACATACAGTTGTTCGTGTAAGAAAATATATTGCGGCAGATATAGTCCAATATTTAGGATGTTTGTACTCGTGCTTTATTTATTATATTTGCAAAACACAAACATACTAAATAATTTTCACACAAAATTTAAAAGGATATTCTTTAGTTTCGGAAGACAAAAGTTAAATTCAAGGATAAAAATATACTTAGAAGCACATTGATCAGTATCATAATTTTTGCATGTGTGACGTTATTGTCAAAACTTCTATATACCATCTGTGTGCTATTACATAAGCTATTCGGCGTATCTAAGTATTTCAGTAGCATGGCGAGCATATATTTCTGTAAGATCAACCTATATACAATGGAAGATCAATTTTAACTTAGTCTATTATATATACGGCGACACTAACATACGTAAAAAATAATAAACTTGACAACAAACATGTATAGTAAAAGGCCATTTGGTATTAAAGTATTTAAGTATTCTTCTTGGTAGTAATTATTGGTGTCATTTTCTGCTAAGTCAAAAACAGAAAAATATTTTATTTTTACTATAAAATTTTGCAATCAACCTTTTATTTAGTTGATCAACATATTCATTTCTACTAACTAAGATATGATATCTTTTTAATTCTATCACGCGAGTTGTACAATTTGTGTTTTAATCTAATGTTGAAAATATTTCTCTTATCAAATGCACTACTATTACCATTGGGATTGATAACCAAGTGTTTAGGAAGAACCAGATTATCTTTTTATTGGATGCTCTTTTTCGTTTCCGACACGAAGCAAGAAAACACTGAATAGTGGATCTGTTCTTACTTATATTTCTTTGAAGCCAGAATTATAGCTTTGGCAGGCTAGCTTTTACAGTCTCTGCTTTTGTCGATTTTGGAACTACGGGTAGTACTTGACATAAATTACCTCTAAAACCATTAATTTACCACCAAACGATTCATTAATATCTAATATATCTCTAGAACTCCGGGCAATTATTTCGATCGTTTGACACTTAGCCGTAAGTGCTTCATCCCATATTATTAATTTTTCTTTCCTTATAAATTTAGCACAATTGCTCTGCTTTGATATATTTGTGATGGTTATTTAAATTATTTGAAGAGGTATATCAAATCTACACAATAAAATCGTTGTTGGTACATCACTTGCTATTATTACTAACAGTGTCATGCCTCTTTATAAGATATTTGTAAGTAATGCATAACATAGAAATATTATTTCGATTCTGTCGGAGGCATATACAAAGAATAATCCCATTATAGCTGAGTCGGCTCTTCATAATATAGTCTTGACAGCTTGTTATTGTTTAGAATTGCTTCCTCATATACTTGTATAGTATTTTGATTCTTAATAATATACTAACCTTTTTACTTCATGTTCTAACGCTCTTTTTATGGAATAAATTTTTGTACCCTAAGATTTCTTTTTAACTTGAATAAGAATTTTACTCATACGATGAATTTAAAAAATAATTGAATTGGATTCGTTTGCTAAATAATTAATTAAAAGATTTAATTATTTGATTTTAACATAAAAAATAATCTATTCTATGTTGATTTAGATCTTAATATTAGTTCATCTCTTGTTTTGAATTTTTAATCATAATTATAATTTTATCCATCATAAATTTTAAATGACATGACATTTCACTTTTAGATCTTTATGTTTGTAGAATCATTAGTGGTATTGACTCTTACCGACCATTGTTTTCCTCTTTCTCACACATTTATAGTCGTAAATGTTTTGTTACTTGTTGTTTAATAATTGGATATTTTTCAATATTATACGAAAATTAATTAAAAAATATTATTTGTGTAGAAAAATAGTTCAAATATAATATAAAAATATATTATCGTGGGGGTATTTTTTGTTTTTCTCGATTTCAACTCTTTATGCAGTCTATTTAGTATTATTTTTATTTTTACTTGGTATTGGACATTATGGAGTGGTAATGTATCGCTAATACGGAGGATTCTTATGAAATTGATTTTTTTAACCTTCCTACATATTTTTAATAAGGATTTAATAGATATAAATTATAAATAGATAGATATAGATAAAACAATTTCATCAATTTAAATCTTTTTACCAACATCAATTTAAACTTTTGTTAGTAAAAGAATTAGGAGTGCATCACTATATCATTTTTACTTTGTTCCTATTCAACCTCCTTCCAAATCGCCCGGGTCATTTAACTGAAGCCCGCCAGATTGCACTAGAAGATGCTTGTCCTTCGTCATTTGGTTGCTTAAGTAAAAAGTTAATAACATCATTCGTTAAAAGCCAAATAAATGTCAAAATTAGGGTTTCATCAGTGCTACATAAACAATAAGTAAACGTCAGCACGGCCACGATTTCGCCACGCGAAATGCCAAATTGGGCTACACAGTAACACCCGTGTTGTCTCGCACAGGAAAATACATGATAGTCGGTCTCCTACACAAAAAAAGCGCCTCCTTTTGACCTTTTCTCCTCCTTTCCCTTCTCTTCCCTTCTATCACTACTAGTCTCTGTTTCTATTCTCTTTCTTTTTTTTAATCAATTTTTAATTGGAATATGACCTAAAATCTTTTATAATTTTTAAATTTATTATCAATTTTAGATCAATCCATTTATTTTAATTTTTACAGATATAGTAATAATATATCTTTGATTTTTTATTATTCTTTTCTTGATCAGTGTACTGTATGTTCTTGATTTTTTTTTTCCAGCTTAAGTTTGATTGTTTTTACATAGATCATTGAAAGTTTTGATTTTTATTTCTTGTTTCCTTTTCTTCTTGTATATTTTTCAATTTGATCTTTACTTTTTATCAAGATTCAAATAGCAGTATGTGCTCAAGCAACTCTTTATATAAAAATCCAAAGCCCTGCAAACATCTTGCAGATTACAAGGTGAAAAATGGTATGAATGGGTATAGTTTGATCCAAGAATGTTTTAAGACAACCCCATATGGTAGGACCACATTAGAAATATCTAAATCAGAGCTACCTAGATGTAGTATTTGTAGTGGATATGAGGGTAGATTTTACATGTGTTTGATCTGTTCATCAGTGTTATGTTGTTTGTCACTTGAATCAAACCATGTCCTTTTGCATAGTAAGTGTAAAGCTGGGCATGAGATTTCAGTGGACATGGAAAGGGCTGAGCTTTATTGCTCAGTGTGTTGTGATCAGGTGTATGATCCTGATTTCGATAAGGTTGTGATGTGTAAACATATAATGGGGTTTCCAAGAAATCAAAATGGGGTTGTGGAGAGTGAGTTGAGGTTGAGCAAGAGGAGAAGGTTGAGTTTTGGGATGGAATTAGATTCAAAGAATATGAAGACGTTGTTTTTAAGGAGGGATCAGAAGTCAAAGTCGTGTTTTCCCTTGGGATTAAGGGGTTTGAACAATTTGGGGAATACTTGTTTCATGAACTCTGTGTTGCAAGTGTTGCTTCATGCACCCCCTTTGAGAAATTACTTCCTTAGTGATAGGCATAACCGAGATATTTGCAGAAAGATGTCGTCGGATCGGTTGTGCCTGCCTTGTGATATTGATCTTATCTTCTCAGCTGTCTTTTGTGGTGATCGGACCCCTTATAGTCCAGCTCGGTTTCTTTACAGGTGTGTAAGTGTTAAAAGGATCTATCTGCTGTCATTGTACCCTTAAATTGCTTTTTATCTGTGCACACCATTTGATGTGTTGATACTGGATATTTGATTATAACATGGTCTGCAAAATTGTAAATAATGTTTAATCCCAGCAAATGCACAACATTGCTTTTAGATACTCTGTCTTTTTCAAAAAAGATTGTCATTATTTCCTTATTAATTTGTTCAAAAAAGATTGCCACCTTTTGATATTTCCTTAATAGGAAGCATTTATAGCCACACAAATGATATGACAGGTTTCATACCACAAGTTTCAAAAGTTTTACAGCTACACAAATGCTATGGCATATTTAAGATCGCTTATCTCAAAAGTCTTCCCTTCTTTATTGAAGTTTGTGCGAAGTCAAACTAAGACAATTTTTTGAAATGGAGGGGGTAATATTTAGCGCTATCTGCATAGGTTTTCACTTAGAAGTTTCTGGATAAACAAGATTTGGTGCATTTATGCTAAAATCAGACAATAAGCAAGTTTGCTATTCTCTTAACGTGGTAAAATAAGTCTGTGGAGATTTTCTCTATGCTGCTACATCCACTAATATATCATCATTTGTCTAACTTAGATCATATGCTTACAGCTTATACGTGGAAAATGTTAAATTTGTTTGATGCTGACAGGTTGAAAACTTATGTAGTGATTCGTCTTAATTGAAGTGGTGTTTATGTTTGCAGTTGGTGGCATCATTCAGAAAATCTTGCTACCTACGAGCAGCAGGATGCTCATGAGTTCTTCATTTCAATGCTTGACAGGATCCATGACAAAGAGGGGAAAGATAGTTTGGCAACCAAAGGTATCTTTTGCTGAGAATGGCTCTTATTCTTCTTGTCTAAGTATGACATTTGTTGGGGCCTGTTGTTTACATAATGGTTCATCTCTCTGTGTTTGAAATGTACTACAGTTAGTAGATATAGTTGAGGTCTTGTATATATGTACATGCGCAATTTCCTTTCTGGGATATCAGTTTTGGCCTGTACTTCTATCTGCGGCCAATTTCGTTGATGAGAAAAAGTATGATTCATGTATTAAGACCTTGAGAACTGAAGATTTGTGGCTTCCTCTAGTTCTTTTTCTCTGATAAAAAAACATTTCTTAAACAGATAATGGAGATTGCCGGTGTATTGCTCATAGGACTTTCTATGGGCTCTTGAGATCTGATGTCACCTGTACATCGTGCGGATTCACTTCAACAACTCATGATCCTTGTATGGACATTTCTCTTGACTTGAGTAGCTGCAACTCCAGCCCAAAGGATTTGGCTAATAAGTCGTGTAAGCCAAATGAATCTCTTGGCGGTTGCTTGGACCTCTTCACAAGACCAGAAAAGTTGGGGTCCGATCAGAAACTGTACTGTGAAAATTGTCAGGAGAAGCAAGATGCATTGAAACAGATGTCTATCAAGAAGCTTCCACTGGTGCTATGTTTTCATATAAAACGATTTGAACATTCTCCCACCCGAAAAATGTCCAGAAAGATTGACCGCCACCTGCAATTTCCTTTTTCTTTAGACATGAAACCGTATTTATCATCTTCAATCGTACGAAAGAGATACGGGAACAGAATCTTTTCATTTGACGGTGATGAATTAGATATTTCTACGGAATTTGAAATTTTCGCTGTGGTCACGCATTCAGGGATATTAGAATCTGGTCACTACGTGACGTATTTGCGTTTGAGAAACCAATGGTACAAATGCGACGATGCATGGATTACTGAAGTAGATGAAGAAGTTGTTAGGGCCTCGCAATGCTATCTGATGTACTATGTACAAAAGATGCTTTACCACAAGAGTTGTGAGGATGTTAGCTGCCAACCAATGTCACTTCGAGCCGACACATTTGTTCCTATAGCTGGTTGCTGCTAGAACTGCAGTTTGTGATCGGGTGCAATTCTGGCCAGCGGGGGAAAGGTATTGTGGGGCTGTGACCATGATGGTAGTCCACGGACTCTCCACCAGCCAAGTTGTCCCGGTTAAGGGATGATATGCCGAAAATTGTATGGTAATATGATTCGGAATTTGGAACGCTGATGAAACCTTTAGGGGGAATCTCTTGGTGAGGACTCGTACAAAGATGGAACCACCAACTTTGGTTCAAGCATTAATTTACTTGTTGAGGCCATAGAAGGAGCCTTATGAATGTACAGTAACTTAACAATGGCAGGGGCATCTTCTTCTCTTTGGTCCATTTAATCTCTTCAAGATTCCTATTAATTTTCATTGTTGGGTTCTTAAGAGTGATCTCTCTTTGTCCTGTTGGTTTGTTGAGATTGAATTATAACATATAACTTGATTTTATCATTCAAGAAGATACTTTACATGAATAGTTTCGAGATTTTTTTTTTTTTTTTTTTTTTTTTTTTCAGGATGATTGGTTTTGGTAAATGTCAAAAGAGGTATGGTACCTCCTTTAATTTAAGGCTAAAAATGAGCTGCTTATTGTTAGTTCGAAATTTCAAGAAATGACTATTTATGATTGAAAATTTTATGTTTTTACTCACAAGCGAAAAGATCATCTAAACATGTCAATAATAGTTTTATTACTGTTAAACATGTCAAAATTGAAAAAGTAAGTGTTAATTAATTACAATTAATTATTTTACTATGTTGCCCCGATAATTATTTAACAAACTCAATATTAAATAATTCCATAATCATCCCAGAACCCGGTGTCACAAGTGCATAAGCTATCTCTAGGAAGCAATATAATACAAAAACTGCCCACAATACAAATAGGACAGAAAGTAAATATGAAAATCTCAAAGAAACTCTGCTGGCTGCGGGTCGTCTCGAGAAGTGCAGCTCACCTAAGTCTCCGTATCAACCATGCTGCTATGCCTACTAGGCCGCTAGAGATGCATGTGCCTGTGCAACAAAAATGCACAGCAAGTGTAGCATGAGTACGAAAATAACGTGTACTCAGTAAGTATCCCACCTAATCTCGAAGAAGTAGAGACGGGAGGTCGACTTCGACACTTACTAGTGGTCCATTAATAATACATCAATAACATGACAAATCGAGAATTTATATAAACATGATTGTAATTCAATAGAGTGAAGCAAGTAAACAATTCTTTCTTTTATGTGAAATTCCCAAATTCCTTTTTCATCATTTATACATATATTCTCAAGTCGGGAAGAAGCAATATCAACTTCAATAAATTTCAAAGCAAGCAATACAAGCATGCGCAAATCATGCCGAGGTCGTACGGACCAATCCAACAATATTTAAACTCTGCACTGCTAGAGGGTCGATTGACGCGAACCATAGATGCATCTATTACCCCGCTCGCAAATTATACATGCAATGCGGTCAAATATAAATAAACACAACAATCAGTCAATCAAGAATTCATCAGGGAACAATTATCCAAAGAAAAGCCAATTCTCTTTTAACAATTCAAGAAAATAAAGTTTAATCTTTTTAGAAATTCATTTACTAGTTCGATGTGATTTAAGCAATTCAAACTGACAATAAGATTACAAATATTCCAAGTATAGCATGTTTTTGGGTCCTAGACTACCCGAACATAAATATAATAGTAGCTATGCACGGACTCTCGTCACCTCCTGCGTACGTAGACCCCACAAATAGGAGCACAAATCCAATTAATTCACCTATAGGGACAATTCCCTCTTACAAGGTTAGAAAGAAGACTCACCTTGCTCCGAAGTCCAATGACTGGCTTCCAAGCCCTTCCAACGACTCAAACCGATGCCCCGACGCTCCAAAACTAGCCAAATAACGGGCAAACCAATGAAAATACACCCTAATATTCGTAACAATTCAATTTATATAAAATCCCAACTCCGCTCAAAAGTTGATAAAATCGCCCTCGGGCCCACGTGCCCGTATTCCGAAATTTTTCGAAGATAAAGTTTACCCATAACCTCACGAACTCAAACATGTAATTTACTCTTAATTTATCCAAAAATGCCTATCCTAGGTCTTTCCACCAAAACCCCAAGTTTCTACCAATTTTTCTTGCTCAAATCCGTAATAATATCATGTATTTAACTCACAAGGCGTGAAATTAACTTATCTCATGTTTGATGATGAAATACCTCTCTTGAAGCTCTCAAATAATCGCCCAAACAAGAGGTAAATGGAAGAAAATAGCCAAGACCCCCGATTTAAAGAACCTTACTGCCTCCAGCATTTCCGCACCTGCGGTCACACGACCGCTTCTGCGGTTCTGCAGGTACGGCCCCTCTACCGCTCCTGCGGTTTCTCACCAGGCTCCCATTTTCGCTTCTGTGCCTCAACTACCGCAGATGGAGTCCCGCTTCTACGGCTACATGACCGCATCTGCGGTCTCTTCACTTCTGTCCAAACACCGCATTTGCGTCCCTCCTAGCCGCTTCTGTGGCTCCGCACCTGCGGCCCAAGTCTCGCAGGTGAGGTTACACCAGAAGGCAGCAGCTTCAGTTCTTCCTCCAAATTCCAATTCGATCCATTAACCACCCGAAATCCACCCGAGGCCCACCGGACCCCGTCCAATCACACCAACCAGTCCCATAACATAATGCAGACCTGCTCGAGCCCTCAAATTACATCAAACAACGCTAAAACCATGAATCACACTCCATTTCAAACTTGATGAACTTTAGAACTTCAAACTTCTTCATTCGATGCTGAAACCTACCAAATCACGTCCGATTGACCTCAAGTTGTGCACGCAAGTCATATTTTGACATTACGGACCTACTCCAACTTTCGGGATCGAAATCCGATCCCGATATCAAAAAGTCCACCTCCGGTCAAACTCATCAAAACCTTCAAATTTCTATCTTTAGCCAAATGACTCCAAAATGACCCACAGACCTCCGAATTCACTTCCGATCGCCCTGCCAACACCAGGATCACCATACGAAGCTATTCCTAGATTCGGAGTCCCAAACGGACATCGATAACACTGAAATGTATTTCAATCCAAACTTATGAAATTCTTCCAAAAATGCTAACACCCACAATAGGTGCCGAAACGTTTCCGAGTCTTCCAAAACCCAATCTGGATATAGGCCCACGTTCGAAATCATCATATGAACCTGCTGAAACCTTCGAATCCCGATTCCGAGGTCGTTTACTCAAAAATCTAATCTTAGTCAACTCTTTCAACTTAAAGCTTCCGGAATGAGAATTCTTTTTCCAAATCAACTCCGAACTTCCCGAAATTCAATTCCGACCATGCGAACAAGTCATAATACATGAAGTGAAGCTGCTCATGGCCTCAAACTGTTGAACGACGTGCTAGAGCTCAAAATGACCGGTCGGATCGTTACAGTCATTCAAGTTTTAGGCTTGGTGTAACATCCAAAACAAATATTTCTTAGCTTTTTTTGTCCATCATATGGTGGTGTAGATTCAACACCTCTTCCCCCTTGCTCTTTTATCCCCGACAGTAATTTTTCTAGGAGCAGTCGCTGGAGGTGCATTTGGAAATATGCCGCTGTCAAATCTAGTATTGTTTCCCCTTCCTCTGCCACTGCTTGTATTAGTTGCACCTAATTCTTGAGTTGCTTGACTTCCTTAGATTTCATGAGTTGCTTGAGTTGATTATCTACTTGTAGACTCTCTGATTCCACCCTAAAAGAATTTCAATATAACACTTATTTAAGTTAGCATTTGAAGTGAATAAAAAGGTAAAAATATTACAACTTACCCTTGATTGGCAGGAAGACTTGTTATGGCCTGCTTGATGATATTTTGAATATGTCATCTTCACTCCTTGCTTGGAGAGCTTGCCATACTTCTTTTTTTTAGGCTCAGTCTTGGCCTTTTTTTTGGGGGGAGAGGGGGGTGGAGGGGGCTGTCTAGAATTGGCTTTGGTGCTGGAGGCTCAATTACCATATTATTAGTGTGAGCCCACATCTTCATATTGGGGATTGCTTCAAGAAAGTATTAATATGCCTTGAGAAATGTCTCATTTCTATACCGGTGATCCATATAATTGTATGGTTCTTCTTTTTGGTGATAGATTGCACATATTTCATGTGCACAAGGGATCCCTCTTAACTGCCAGAATCTTCAAGTGCATGTTCTTCTCCTCAAATTCACTATATATTTGTATTCATACTCATCAACGTCAAACCCATCAGTTCCAAACCACAAAATTTTGCATTTCCTAGAACACTCCTTATTTTCTTCTAGAATCACCCTTGCCATAGGTGAAATTTCTGTAATCCAAGTCTCTACAAACTTTATCATATCAACATGTCTCCTACATACTTTATGTCTAATGTCCTCTAACATGCTAATAATAGACTTGTGCCAAGGTGTCAATATCCATAAATTAAAGGTTTCACATATATTATTTTCTACAATATCACATTTGGAGCATTCAAGAAAAAAACGCTCTACACTAATATTCTTTGTTATACTTCAATAGGCTTTCGCATATATTTTTTCCAAGTTTTCCCTGAGCAGCCTGTTTTTCTGTCAACTTCACCTCAAAACTAGCCTTAGAACACCTCCAAAATTGCTTTCTCATCTCCTCACCTCTCCAAAATTTTGACCAGTTAGACCATATGTGCCTAGCACACATTTGATGCTCACAATTTGGTAGTAATTCATGAATGCCAATTCCTACAAAATAAAAATGAATCAAATAGAACCCTACAAAACAGAGTTTTGGTAAAATACCGATGGAAAATGGCTTAGTTAAGGTGTTCAAGTGAAATTTATGTGATAGTCAAAGTGTTTGTCTATGTATTCTACCTATAGAATATGATAGATGTATTTATACATACACATGTATGATATAGTAATGGTTCGCGCTGGAACTTCATAAACAAAAAGAGAGGCTTCAGGTTCTTGCTTATTTATGGAATATCACATTGTTACTGACCTTTCAAAAGTTAAATTTACTGCTAGGGTATAACGGAGACTGTGTAAAATGGTGAAATCGAGTTTTGAAATAAAAAAGAAAAAGTTAACGGAAAAAAAAAAGAGACGTATGTAATTCTAATTTATGTGCGATACAACTGTTTAAAACTTTTAATTTTTGAAAAAAATAATGGTATAGTGCACACAAGTTGAGGGTCATTTATGACTTTTTGAAGATGTCCTTAACTATAAAATTTGCTCCTATTTTTTTTTTCTTTCCCATATCAGATATGAGCATTAAAAAGAAAACACACCCAACATATTACATGACATGTATCTTCGTAAGTTTCGTCTATTCTTATTGTATTGTGATTAATTGATGTATAATTTCACTTTCTATTTTTTTCATTACTTAATAATGACTAATTAATAAGTTTTTGCCTTTCTCGTTATGGCTCTTGAGCGGCCTCCAAGAGCGTGTGCACTCTCTCCCTCTCC